TAAATACTGGAAGATTGACCCAATCCAATTTATTAACATAATAAACCAAAAGGTTACAGAAAAAAAGGTGCCATTTAATCATTTCTTTCCAGCCCAGCATTTATGGACTGAAACTTACCAAGCTGTAACATCTGATTAGAAAATAAGTAAAATCAGTATCTTGTTCAGTCAGCAAACCCATGATTGCAGGTAAAACCACTGATATTTTTAGAATCGTTTCCTGCAAAGACTTTGCAGAATATTTTTAGGCGTGCTTAAGCACTCCCTTGGCTTGGGCAATGTTTTTCCTTATAGTCATTTCAAGGAGAATTCAAAGGGTCTGTTATTGTCCTATGTAGGAATTGATGAGTGTACAATAGGGTCACTGAAGTTCAGTCCTTAGTGAATGTGGGCTGCTTTATACATATAGAACTAATGCTGTGTAACCTGCCTCAAACAACAGAACAGATTTTTAATATTAGAAAAAACTGATTCAGAGCTTATTATTGTAGGTTAAGTACTTCTATGCCCAGCCATTGTGGTAGACACATACCAATACAATACTGATAATATGGGAGAATTTCACATTCCTAGATAAATATGCCCTGGCTCTATAATGGGAATAAGCATCTTGTGTCCTAAGAGATCTAAGCTGTTGTGTTCTTTGTCTCTTAAATGTAAGATGAGTCTGGAATCAAACCACTCAAAGATAGAGAACAAATCTTCAACAATCTCTGCAAGCCTTGAACCAGGTCTTCTGGATATTGCCAATATGATTACCACCATAACTGTCTCTCAAGAAGGTAGGCAGAGCCTGTGAATACTAGAAAATAGCTTAATTGTCAAAATACTTCATCCTCATAATATCTCTCCAAGTTGGGTATTTTTACGCCTTTTGTGGGTAAAGAAACAGACATGTTAGAGTTACATAGATGCCATGGCCTATGTTGTACAGCTAGTTAACAGCAGAATCCAAACTATAACACCCATGTCTCTAGGCTTCCAGTTCAGACTCTCAAGTAGAACAAGCAAAAGTCAGCCATTTACTGAGCTCCAAGTACTACTGGAAATATGTAAGCTAAAAACAAACAAACAAAAAACATATGTCCCAGGAGGCCTTGAGAGCAGAGAGAAAAAGAGAAATTTAACGTACAATGGGAACTTAGAAAGTGGCTGTGGAGTCAGAGGACCTAGATCAAGTTTACCTTTGCAAACTTTATGCAAACATTTAATGCAAACATTATGTGGCATTCAGCAAATTATTTAACCTCCTTGGATCCATGTTTTGTCAAGTGAAGGGTTTGGAAAGGATATGCCTTTCAACTCCAGATCTATGATCCTATGAGGTCTGGCTAAGCAGGTGTGTGTGCATGGGCACACACAAATTACAAGGAGATATGTCAGACACTGTAGAAGGGCAGCATTAGTTTGGGTTCCCAGATTTAGATGTATAGATGCATAGTCACAGATGTCACCAAAAATGGTTTTTTACAACTTCTCTAGGCCCATCATGTCGACAATGTCAAACAGCTTCAAAGCAGCTTGGCTTTTTGTGTGATGATCTCACCACCTGCTTACCACCATCCCTGCTTTGTAATAGAAAGCTAGACTGCAGTCATGGAGAAGATGAATCCACAGCATATTGTGGTGAGATGATACAAAACCCTATGCTGAAATACATTTGCTATTAATCACTAAGACTCTATTAACTATATAATTTTCATCCCCTAGAATTAATGCCTTTGTCTGAAACAGGTCAAATGCCCATAAATCTACCTTAAAACTTGCTCTTAAGTGTCCTAACCAGAAGTCATGGACTTACATAGACAAAGTCTGCGACATGAGAAATGACTGTTGAGATTGTTCAGATGAAATCAGGTAAAAATGAACGAAGATGCTGAATCTGCATCAATGGGCTAAAAGAGCTCCACCCATTTCTTGTACAAAACTCAAGGCCAGTGAACAGACGAACCAAGCAAACTGATATAGCCAAGCAAGTTCAGCTAGTTTTACTTAATAAAAGAGATTAGGGTAAGGGCTGGATGTAAGCCAAAAACTTGAGTAAGCCCCTTCCCTCTTTTAAACTTGAATTTAAGATTGTCTCATTTCATAGGATCATTTAAGGTAAAGGTTAGGAGGAATTCTGAAGGTTTCTGCCCCTATCTTCATGTAACTTTGCCTTTACCTTCCTCACTCCTTCCTCTCTTCCCCAAAACTTCCCTACAAAGATTAAATGCCTGCTGACAATTAAGGGGAAACATCTCCTCTGGAAAGGTTTGAAAAAACAAAAAAACCACTTAGCCACGAAACTCGAAATAATGCAGTTCTATCTTGGTCTTGCCACTATCAGGATATAATCGGTGTTGGCAAAACATTCCAAGTTCCCTAAAAATTAATTTTCTATTCTTGTAAATGTGCAGCTATAGAATAACTTCCTTAGGAGTTGACACATGTGAAACATAGCTACTTAGATGGTTAAAAGCTTTTAAAAACATAGGACCACTTGTTTGCTCCTCTTTCCAGTGTCTATTTGAAATATACATAGTGGTTTTCCCTTGTTTGTATAAATCAGGACACTATTTTTTGGCTGAATTATATTCCTCAACTTGGCTTTTTGCTTACAACACAAATTACTTTACCCAGAAGTGTATAATACTTGCTAGTTTCAGTCATCTTAGTTTTCACTAATACACACTAAAATGTCTGAGGTATTTCTTTTCCAGCTGTCTTTAAGCCTGGATTCTGGTATCAGAGTCCTGCTTGAACACTGGACAAACATTTTAAAAATAAACCAATTACCTACAGGTTTGCAGTGCCCAACCTGTTCAGGCTGGAGGTGCAATACAGTTTTCTTTGCTGATTGTGACTGCATTCCCAAAATACGCTGTAAAGATGGTATACAAGACTGTGCTGACTGGAGTGATGAAAACACATGTGCATAGAAGACTAATTCCACCCATCTATGATTTCTAGAAAACTGAAACTTCCATGTTTCTGAATCCACAAGACTTTCAAACAAAAGATTTATATTCTTAAAAGATTTTCTGAACAAATGAAAACACTAATACATGTGTCTGTTTTTAACTACCAGATCACTACAGCTGGGCCCAAAGACATTACTAACTTGAGAGACATACTAAATGCCATAGATTCACAGGACTCTCCCAAGATAGAAGGAACCTTAAGAGATTCATAGTCCAACTCTCTAATTCTAAAAATTAGGAATTAAAATTCAAATAAGGTGTAATGTTCTGAACACGAAATAATAACCACCAAGGGTTGAACCTAGGTCCCCTCTTGACTAACTCTGAACTGTATCTCTGCCCAACTAACCTGCCATGTCTTAAATTCCTGCACTCCTCACTTCATAAGGGCCTTATAAAGATGTGTATTTTGAATGGTTTGTGGCAATTAAATCTGTGAGATGTAACACATTAGCTACCACAAATTATTAGTTATCCACAGTGCCTTGAAAAAAAGGTAATAGGATGATTATTTAGAAAAGCTCCTAGAATTCGGCAGTAGGGAATCCTTGGACAGCATGAGGGTACTGCCTACATTTGGGCAGTCATCTGTTGCTAATTGTCCTGTAACAGTTTGTCACGAGACAGAATTGGCCAAGAATTATGTTCAATAGTCCTTTGATTCACTACATATCATTCTACTCTTAGATATTTACTTATGGATGGGGGTGGAGAGATGCAAATGATTAGCCAGAAGCTTCATTTAAATATAAAAAAAATTCAGACTGCAATTAAACAACTCAACAGGCATTCCACACATCTGACTAAACAACACAAAGCAAAAAACACAAGACCCATTCTGGGCTTAACAGAATCTGACATTTTGATACCTACTAATTTGGAAGCTAAATTTGTTGGGATAATTACTGCTTAAGGGTTGAGAATAGATAGCAGTTTACAGTAGGTGCTGAGATATTTGTTGACTAAAGCAGACAGACAACTTATAACAGAAAGCTACCGGGAAGCTATTTTTAAGGAAATTAGTTTCTACTTTACCCCTGCAACCCCTTCAGATTTAGATTAGAACAAATCTCCTACCCTCAAACTCACTGTAATTTTCAAACCTCTAGTAGAGGAATAATTTTTAAAAGCCCACATTTCTGCAGGTCACACAATATCAGGTAATTTATAGCTTAGCAGTAAAATTTATACATAGGGTAGATAAAGACAAGATGTACTTTAAAGCATCTGAACACAGAGGGTAGGTCCTCTGGATTCTAAAATAATCTCTCCATTTTCCAAACTTTAAAAGTGCTAGAGCACAAGCAAAAACAAAAACAAATCACTCCTTCCCTCCCTGTTAAAGAAAACAATGGTAAATATAAGAGTTCACAGATTAATAGACAAGATTTACCAAAAAGGCTCTAAACTGCTCAGGAACTACTTAGTACTTTATGCTTAAGAAGATTAAATGGGTGGTTTTGGAACAATGAATAATTTACCAAAATTACTAGTGTCACTTTGCTGAAAGATTATGTCTACCCATAAATTTTAAAAGCTACCAAGCTGATAAAAAAACAAAAACAAAACACCAGAAGAGTTAAAAACCTCAAATAATATCTTAATTTGTGAAACCTACTCAAAATAAAATGAGATGAATAGTAATTATTCTTATTATTTCCAGAAGAATTTGTCATGTCCTTTCCCAAAATGCATATTGATGTGCTCTTATTTTTATACATAAATTCACCATAAGAGGTAAATGTGACCTAAACTATTGTTTTAACTGCTTTACTCATTGGGGGGGAAAAAAAAACCTTTACCACAAATTTCAAACCAACATTTTTTCTTTCTATCCTCCTTCACATAAAACCATTCCAACCAGCTAAATTTAATTTAAATCTGGAGGTATTTAAAAAATTTCAAAACTTTGCTAAAATATACTGGAATCTGATTATGTAAACTTAAAGAACATAGCCAGTTATTGTATTGCATTATTTAGGGGAAAAAAACCCAAACCTATGTTGCTTTCGGATACAAATTACAGTACCAATAAAATCAAGTCAACTGTATACTAGGTAAAGATTTTATTAACCTTTTCTTTCAAATTTTAATTCCAGGCTTGTTCAGCATAGTTAGGCTGCAAAGAATGAATTGTGTATAAGCAATAAATGAAAAGAGCTGCAATGTCCAATGGGCTTCAAAATATTAGATACAATTCTCCAGATCCATAAACAAAAACAAAAACAAAAGATAAGATAAAAGAAAAAAAGCAGCCACAAGATACAAAATAGCAGCTCCATATGACTTTCAAGTTTTAACTTTCAGAGGTTGATACTCAATTCAGTTTGCCTCGTTCTTAGAAGCCTCATCAAAATTCTCAACGAGATCTAGAGGGAAAAAAAAAACACATTATGATGTTATGAAAATAAAAATTTTCCAAGTGAATTCCTAAGTTTTATGAAGGGGAAACAACTTCAAAAGTGTATCTGATAAAATAATTCACAGAAGATACAAAGTAGAACTATAACCAATTCAGTATTCACTTTAATTTAGTCTAGTTGAGCATAGGCATAAAACATGGAAATGCCAGTAACCTGTTGGCAACAGTGGAAATATTGCAACTCAAGAAACTGTACTATTCTACAAGTGGTATAATTGGGCAACACATTGGTTACTATGAAGAAAAAAGCTACTAGGCACACACAAGTTTATTAAAAAAAAAAATCTGTTTTTTTTTAAAAAACTTCTTGGACACTTAAGTTACCTGTGAAAAGGGTATATTTATTAGTAATGAATTATCAGTCACAAATCCAAAGTTCTTGAAATCTGATTCAGGGACCACTAGAGGCATTTTGACTGTTCTCTTGTAGTAATGATGTGATAAGAATAATATTTTATTTGAATTATGTGTGAAATTTAATAAAACAAATGTATCATTGGTACTGCTAAAAAGAAATTGTCATTCTTTCAATTCACTGAATTATGGTTTTAATTTTCTTGTAAATAAATCATAGAATAGTCTACAGGGATATGCCTTACATGGGGCTCTAGAAAGAAAACGATAAAAGTACAAACAGTGCTTTTAATTTTATCTAGGTAATGTTAAAGAAACGGTCTACTGCCTTTTACTTTGATGTAAATAAACCATAGAATCTTCAACAAGGACAGAGTATTACCTGGAACTTCATCATCATCATCCTCCCCAGTGGCAAGTGGTGCTTTTCCATCGACAGCTATAATACATACAGTATAAATGTTATATGCATTTTCTCAAAGTCTACCTCCAACAAAAAATACAGTACTAACAACAAATAACAAAGTGGTTCAAGGTATTCACCCAATTCCTGTGAGTAACAGAAATTAGCAGTATCCTACATTTAGTAGGATACTCAATAGTGTAAAAGATAAATTGATGAAATCTTAATTGTTATTTTTTAATCTCCATTTATAATTACCACAAATTACCAAGAAATTACAGCAGTGATTATCACTTGGGATTTCACTTAAATTAACCATTATTAGTTAGCGATTTCTAGAGTTTAAACATGTAAAACAACTTTTTCCACCTAATTCAAATCCAAACGAACAAGAATATGAAAAACAAAAGCATTCTATCAAAGCAGAAACATGACATAGTAAAGAAGGAAAGGGAGAAGGGTATTATTTCATAACCAATTTTTAAAGAAGAGGTCCCTGTCTTGAAGTTAAGGCACATTTATATTGCTTTGGGAGATTTTAAAAAAAGGTCTATAACTAAATTCCCACACTCACATTTCCAACATAATAGTAACTTACGTTGTTTGGGCAGAGCCTCTGCCAGTCTTCTTAAGCTAGTCAGACTGTCAGCTCCTAGCTGATTTAAGATGCTGGGGAGCATTTCTGTTAGCTGCTTTGTCTCAGCATGGCCCGTAATAGTGAAAGTGTTTGCTGCCAAGGATGCCTGAACTTTAGGATTGTTAAAGTGGATCACTGTTCCCTGGTTGGTAAACATATTCACCTGTTAAAAAAAATTAGGGGAAAAAAGTTAGGAATGACTAATTTAAAACATTTCAACAACAAAACAAAACTCCTAAACTTAAGAATGACTATCTCTTAAAACAGGTGAGCTAAGATATGGAATGTCCTTGTTAAGTTTTAATCAGAAAACAAATTCAGCAGCCACCACCTTACATTTGACAATACAGTTTTTTCTATACCCTAATCAGTGATGTTTTATAACACAACCAATACATTATAACCAAATTACATTGATATGAACAAATGAATTTGGTTCTAAAAATCATTTGGTTTATTAGACCATTTCCTATGAAACAAACTCCTCTCCCTACCAAGAGTTTTGTCTACCATATATTCAAGTAACCAATCACTTTAGGTGGGCATGCCTATCATAATCTGTAGGAATGAAACTGCTGCCAACAGCTTTTTTCCCTCTAGAGTTCTATACATAAAATTCTGATAGGTGGGGGGATGAAGGTTTTATGCTACTCCAAGAAAGACAGTTCAAGTGACATCTGGGAGGAAAAAAGGGAAAGAGTGAGGTCAAAACATAAGGGGACTTACAGATGGCAAGTAAGATGATGTAAGACACTTTGTAACTATAAACTTACACCAAGGGTAAGTTGTTGCTATTAGACTACACCCAACTAGAAGCCTACCAGTCATTGGGATGGAGGTTCAGCTTACTTCTAGCTATTTTGCGAACAGAAAAGATGAAAAGTAATTAAATTTAGGCACTCTAACTCTCATCCCGATTTTCATCTCCCCCCAATTTCAAGATAAGAAAATACATAAGGAAAGGAGTGCTCAATATTTTACTTCATAACTAATAATTATTACAACAGTAAGCCATGGCATTATAGTTTTCTACATTACAAAGTTTGTGAGAGAGTAGAAAACTCGTAAGCAAAAAGACAGTTCTTGAACCATAAAGATGGATAGGTTATGTGTCTAGGATTGCTTTTCTTTAACTACCATTCAGCAATTTCCACATGTTTCCACATTTGGAAAGAAAAATATTTAAATCTTAATACAGCACTTATCCACAATGGGTCAAAAATAATTCATGACTAGAATAAGGAGGACAGAAAGAGCCATGTCAATATCAGCATACTAATATATTAATATCTCAATTCTGCATTACATATCTCCTAAAGAAAGTACATTCTCAGTAGAGCAATTATTCTCCCTTGCGCCCCGTTTTAGGGGCAAAAACCATTACTCTATATAGTTGGCCAAACCCACATTCCTGAAGTAAAACAGTAAGAATTCACAATGAACTATTATCTGTGTTCTCTTTAATTTATCTTTTTAAAGGAAAAAAAATAGGCCAAAATTTACTAAAATTACCTCTTCAATACCAGAGATATTGTTTACTCCTAGTTTCTTTAAGGAAAACTGAAGTTTCTTATCATCTGCTGTAGCTGTTCTATGAACCACCTTCTTCTTTCTCCTAGCAGTTCCCTAGAAGAAGGGGGAAAAAAAGATAAGGTATCATAAAAGCCATCTTCAAATGAAAGTCCTTTTCCCTTCTGATCTTTCTTTGGACCCTTACCAACAAAATAATCATGACAAAATATCAGTGTGCTAAGGTGGGGTTAAAGGTTAATAGTGATAAAGGAGGGGTAGAAGCTGACTGTATTAATTTTGTTTTAACAATCAAGGAGACCTACATAAAGTACATGAAATAATCAACCTGATTAATTTGTTGGCAATAAGGACAAACACAGGAGCAAAAGGCACATTTGGAAAAACTTTCAAAAGGGAGAGAATGTTTATCCTATTAACCAGCACTGTTCTGACCACCAACAGAGACCAAATGATAACTACAGTCTAGGTGTCTGAATTTTTGTTTTCATCTGTTAATTTTGAACGAATAGGTTATGATTTAATAAGACATAGCAATGTTCCAAATATCTAATACTAACACCTCTGTGCACAGGTCACCTGATTCTAAAAGTTTAATTAGAGGAAAATGATCTTTTGAAAGTATTCTTTTAAGCTGGAAGGATATTCACAACTAATGGCAATACAAAAGAAACTTGTTAGCAAACACAATGAATAAAATCTTAAGTGAAACCAGACAAGTATGGAAAATCTCCGTTCTATCCCTCCAAAGACATTCAACCATTTTTAAACACTAAATATTAAATTCTAAAAATGTATTATTTATTTATATGTTCCCAATATGTAAATATGCTTCTACTGAAGCATAACTTACAAAAACCTACTTAATAATTAAACTAAGATATTATGGCAAAGAGGTATGGTTACCCCAATTCCTTGCTTCACCTTTTTACTAGGGTCCAGTATGTGGTTAAATCTTTCAAAATTTAAAAAAAAAAAATTCAGATGTGGGAACGCCTGTGATCAGTGGCAACAGATAACAGAAGGAAAGACAGGCTCACACTGAGCAAGGTGTTTCCTGACTCTGGAAAGATCTTTTAGATAATCAAAAATATTTAGGGGCTGGGTAGGGAATCCCAATACAAAGTGGAAAACTTTTGTCAGAAAGACTTGGTTGGCACAGGCATAACTATTATCTAATGCCTATTTTATGCTAGGGCATTAAAACTTCAGAGATAGCCCTCAAAATAGCCAGGTAGTCTAGTGCTCAAAATTTCAGCTCAGATTCAATTTGGCAGTGGACACAAAGCTTAAGTGAACAATTTCCAGCAATCCCATTTAAAGAGACTTCCCTTCCAAAATGGAACATAAAAAATGTAGTCTTTAGAGCAAAAGTAGTATGTTTTCACATGCATTATACAACTCCTGACACGAAGCTTCATTAGTCAATTAAAAAAAATTGAACTCCAATATCACTAAACTGAATAAAAATGTTAGATTTTATGATGTTTTTGGAAAAGAACTGGCACAAGTCTTTAAGTTCTCTTAAATACAAAAAAATTAGCTACTGTTAACACTTCATCTTCCCCCACAATAAAAGGTCAATACCTTTTCTAAAAGTCTGGAAATTCACCTTTCCATATTTATTGAGTACATTCATTTAAAAAAACAACATCATCAATGCTACATATTATGTCAATTACCCCCAGTAAACTACAATATTGAAAACCCTTCACCTTCCTTGTTATATCTCCTCACAGTTAAATATTTTATCCATCAAAAGGTACAAAAGGGATTCACTCCTGAAAACATTAAAAAAAATCATAGTATAAGCACACTCAAACTCTGCCCCATTTAAAAAAAAACCTGATCAAAATTTTCCCAGAGACTGAGAGGCCACACCTAGCTTATAATAATTGCTAAGTGTAAAATATAACCAATCTTTAATATGTAGGTGTCAACCTTAAAGAATACAAGTTTCAGCATGCAAGGATCAAGATCAAATCACTGAATTCAAGGTCCAGCAAGCTACTCATTGCTTAAGACTCAGTACAATTCTGAACTATGTCTTAATACCAACGGACTATCTATATCTCTGACAATTTTAAAGAGTCTATAGCACAAAAACCTGTAAAGTCATACCAAGTAAGAACATATGCTGTTCTATTGGCAACAATATCATTAAGTACTAATATGTCGTTAATGGTGGATAGATTTCTGTCCAGTGAACTTGTGACATAAGAAAGTCTTTAATTTTAAAAGTAAAAAGCATAATCATCCACTATCAGCAGGAAACAAGCTACCAGCCATTTTAAAACTACCCCTCTAGATTTTTGGTCCTGAAATTGAGTGTTTAAAACAACCCATCACTTCTCCTCTTCCCTTATATTTTCCAAGGATAAAGGCCAAAACAGTAGGAAGACATTCTTTTGGGCATGGTTATAAATTCCACAATATACCTGTATGAAAGATGCAGTATAAAATATCTAAGAAAAAAGCAACCATCCTTGATCAAATTCAACAGCAAAACATCAGTTACACTTAAAATCTCTTCTTAAAAAATGTACGAATGTTGCTATTACTACAATTCTTACTTTGGGAATGATGACTAGAGCATGAGAACAAAACCTGTCAACCTTGAAAAAGTTCACTTGTGAACCCTTATTTCTGGTTTTACACATATACAATACAATCATACATGTGGATTTTTGTTTGGTCCTTCCTGGTGTAGGCTATTGCTATTAATTATACAGATTAGCAACTGTTCAGTAACTTATAGAGTCTTAAAGTCATTTACCAAAGTCACAAAGCCTGTACAGGCCAGAGGTAAGACCTGAACCTAGTTCCTTCCTGCCTTCAAATTCTTGATCCACTAAGTGGTAGAAGTCCAAAATAATGTAACAGTTTAAATGGAGGCAGAGAGGGGCAGCTAGGTGGTGAAGTGGATAGAGCACCAGCCCTTTAGTCAGGAGGACCCGAGTTCAAATATGACCTCAGACCAAACACTTGACACTAGCTGTGTGACCCTGGGCAAGTCACTTAACCCCAATTGCAAAAAAAAAAAGAGGCAGAGGCTCCCTACTATTGTATCAAATTAATGAGGTCAGTGTGTTTCTTTGTATTCTCAAAGTGTCAAGAGAAAAGTGTAAAATGAGCCCCAATTGGCAACTTAATGGATGACAAGAGTAGCCTAGGGTTGACAGGAATGGTTTTTGGGTTTACAGTAAGAAATACCTATCAGATCACAGAATTAAAGAGTATTACATGATTAGCCAAAATTAAAATTTTCATTACAAGTGAACTTTAGAAAATTTAAGATATTTCAATTAAAAATATCAAAGTTTAAACTTCCCAGACAGTAGTTTGTATTTTTTTTCCTTTTCCAGAATGTTAGTTTTCTATTTTCCTAATCAATTATCTTTGCTTCTTCTCAAATATACACCTGCCACATCTCAATTGGTATATCCCTCCCTCTCCTGACCTTCGACAAATATTTATTTAAGTACCCAAACGTGTACTACATCAGGAAGGAAACTCAAAGTTTAGATATGACAAGGTAAGGTGTCCGTCATAGGCTTACAGGGTGTAGGGAAAAGCTCTTAACAACACCTTAGGTATTTTAGAGTTCTCAAAGCGCTATGTGAAGACCTTGACTATGGTTCCATCAATGAACAAGCATTTATTAAGGGCCTATTGATTATGTCCCAGGCACTGTGCTCCTTACTAACTGGGGAGTGACTAAAGGAAGGCTGAAAAACGTGATGCTCCCCAGCTATCGGATTTAGATTTGTACTCGGCAGTGTCCCATAAGGACGTTAAAAAAAAAAAAATCACAAGCAAAAAGTTCATTAAAGAGTGCAAAAACACTATTAAAGCCATGATTTCTCGGAGGAAAGTTGAAAAAACTTACTTTCCCACCAATGCGCACTTGTGCCTGCAGCTTGGCAAGCTTCTCTTGGTTCATAATCGTTTCTTTCATCTGTAAAAGCAGAAGAAGGCGTCAGCCGCGGCCTCCCGCCCACTCAGTCCGGCCTGCAGGACACCTCGCTCCAGCTGCCCCTCCCCCCGGAGGCCGGCCAGGCCTCGCTCCCTCTCCCCCAGGGCCCGGGGCTCTCTCCAACCTGAGCCCTCATTCCCGCCGGCCGGCCGCAGGCCTCGCCTTCGCCCGAGCCCCGCGCTGCCCCGGAGCCGCAGCCATCCCCCCGGGGGCTCCCGAGGCCTCCTCCCGCCTTGATTCAGCGGCGCAGGAGCGGAGGCCGCGCGTCACCTGAAGCTCCAGGTCTCCGCCCGCCGCGCCCTGAGGCACGGGATGGGAGAACATGGCCCGGCCGCGCAGGGGGCCTTGCCCCGCTCGGTCGCTCGGCCTGCCCGACTTCCCAGCTCCCTTCCCTCCTTCACTTCCTCCCTCCCCGCTCTGCCTCAGCCCTCGCTTCCGGGAGCTCTCCCCGGGGGCCGCCGTTCGCCCAGACCCCGGCCCTACGCCGTTTTGTACCTTGCCGGAACGGAAACGGAGCTGCGCCGATGACCGGGGGTGTCACTCGAGAGGTCGCAGGTAGAAGAGCCAAAGATAGGAGAACACACGCGTGTTAGCAAGATGGCAGCCAGAGAGGAAGCCGGAAGTGACGACTGGCCACTTCCCTGCCAACCTCCAAGAGGAAGGAAACGTCTCCGCCCCGTGCTCTGCGGCGCGCGCAGTACCTCTCCTTTCCCCCCCGCCCCCTCCCGTTCTCCAGTAGGCTGGGTTCTTGTTTGTGACGTTTTCCCAGATCGACACTTCTCCAACGTTGCTGGAGTGCATGCGATCCGCGAGCTTTTGTCTTTACGCATGCGCAGTCCCAGAGAGCCTTCCATCTTCTCCCGCTGCCAGCACGCCGACTCCTGAGACTTCTGACCAGGAGGGTGTGACCTGTGTTTTCAGGGCGGGGCTGCTGCTAACACTTTGAATATGCTCATTCCCTAAACCAGGTGTTCTTAAATTTTTTTTTTTATGTCCCAGACCCCTTTGGCAGTGTTGGGAACCTTAGGGACCCCATCACAGAGTAATATTTTTAAGTGCATAAAATACATAGGGATTACAAAGGCAACCAATTCTTTTGAAATATAGTTATCAAAAATGCTTAAATTCACAGATTAAGAACCCCAGCACTATCAAAATTGGAGAACGAAATGATTAGGCAACCCCCCCCCCATAAAAATATGGCATCATTCAATTAATAGGTCACGAAACACGTGGACTTTCAGGTTCAGGTTTGGGGGATTTTTGCTCAGTAAATGGTCCAGACAGTCACCTCCAGGTTTTTCCTTGATTTGCCAAGTAGAGCTGCTCCCTGAAGATCGATCAAGTAGCTTAGGCACTAAGGAGCAAATCTGGTGGAACTGGGGTAAAAGCAACGAAGAAAACAACTCCATGAATCACCTGGCTAATTGTAACAAGAGATTTTTGTGCCTAAGAGATGAGGTCACTGGGCTTGGAGATAAAAAACTGAATTTCCTCAACATTGAAACAGGACCTAATAGCAGTACTAATTTAAACCTTGGCTGTAAAAAAGAAAAAGTAATTAAAAATGCTATCGACTAAGTTTCTTGCAATCTGGATAACATGTAAGCTTTCTGAGGACACGGCCAGGGTTCATTTTATATATATTTTTTTATTTTTCTCACTGTCATCTAATGACAAGAGAACACAGAAGCTATAATGAATAAATGACTGAACTGATTTGAAATGTATAGTTAAAGTGAATGATAGCTTAACTAAATTGGGAAATTGCCTGGAATTAGGCAGAAACAACCCAATCTGGGTAAGTAGAAAATAAAGGTTTCCCCAAATATAAGTTTCTTTTTAAAGAAAATAATAAAGCCCTCTCCAAGTACTTTTGTGGGATTAATTTCAAACTGTTAAATATTCTTCAAAGATAAACTGGGATTAAAATTAGTAATATTATGTGGTGTGAAAATAAGTTATTTGTTGTACTGCTTTTGAGTATTGAGTCCAGTGGACCCCTCATTCTCAGTGCATTTAATGCTTGCCCTCTCTACCCCCAATTCTTTCCTTCATATTGAGGTTATCAACATTGATGTTCCCAAAGACACCATTTTACAGCCGAGAAAATTTGGCCTGGTAATGTTAAATGACTTGCCCAAGGTCATAGAGTAAATTATCAGAGGTGGGATTTGAACAGAGGTCCTCTGAGATCAGAGTAAGTCTTCTTGCCACTGGACCACACTCCCTCTTCCTAGTCTAAACACAAGTTCCTTCCCAAAGGATAAAACCCATAGTAATTCCAGAATGACAAAGGAAGAGTTCGGAACTAGATGCTGTGCCTAGAAACAGGCTAACAAGGAACTGGTGAGGCTGCAATTAATAAGCAAAATCTTATTTTTTATTCTCAGTTTCATTTTTCTGAATTAAATTGTCATTTTAAAAATATGATACAGTCTTTAGAAGTATCTAGGTATGTCAGTTATAGCTCATTTTTCCTTTCTCCAGTTTTCTCCTGTCCCTAGAGTTTCATTCAGATTCTTCCGTGCAAATAACATCCTCAAATCATAACCCAAACAAGCCAAATTCAGAGTTGTAACAGCTGTTTTTCTTTATTAACCTCTCTAATCATTGGGCAGTGCCTGCGGAACAAAGTATATGGAGCTTCAAAATGCAAATCAGGTGGTAAGGAATAATAACAAATATTTTTCAGGCTCCTACAATTTTAAATAAAGTGAAATTAACATGTTGTAGTCACTCCTTGTTTTCTTCCAGGACACAAGCTGTTTTGTGTCTAGATCTGCTGCACAGATGAAAAGGGAGAAATTTACATTAAATCCTTGTTAAATTGCAACCACAATCTGTGCTTTTAAGTGTCTTCTTTGGAAGGCTAATTTTCAGACTTCAACTTTCATTGCTGGTTAGAGCATATATATGAGAAATAGCCGGGTATATTCATGGTACTAACTGGAGAAGTATCATAAAGTACTGTCTTTGGAACATTATTACTATAAGCGGTTTTCACAGATACATAGAAATAGCTGAAGTGCAAATGAGAAAAATTTTGAATCATCTTATAGTTACTTTACTCTGAACTCTTTGTTTAACCTCAGGCAAGTTAAAACGTAACTTCTCTGGGCCTCAGTTTCCTCCTCTATTAAATGAGTAGGTTAACTCAAAGGTTTCTAAAGTTCCTTTTCCTGCAAAGCTCTGCTGACTTGAAGTACTCTCTTGTGTGTGTGTATGTGTGTGTTTACTCTCTTCCTGTGCTGCCTCCTTCAGCCTCATATCCCACTCCTTATCCTCATCAGATTCATCGTCATCATCATCATCTTCATTCAAATCAACAAACTGCTCTATCGTAGTAAAATTAAGTGGTACAAGGGATAGAGAGGTGGGTCTAGAGTCAGCAAGAACTGAGTTCAAATCTTGTCTCACATACTAGCTATGTGACCTTGCACAAGTCACTTACCCTCTCTTTGCCTCAGTTTCCTCAACTATAAAATGAGGACACTAACTTCATAAGACTGTTGTGAGGATCAAATTAGATAATATTTGTAAAGCATTTAGAACAGTACTGGCACATAATAGATGCTTAATAAGTACTTTCTTCCTTTCCCCAATCATTGTTCAAGTTTCATTTTTAACAACAAACAATTCCAACAACTATTTACTTCTAAGCACCTACAAGAGGAAAGAGGGGTGGGTTTGGAGTCAGAGGTTCTGGGTTCAAGTTCTGACTGCCACTTACTAGTCTGTGTGACCATGAGTAAGTTAAGATATCAGTTTGTTCATCTAGAAAGTGAAAGAATTAGACCTTCTTTGATTCTATCCATTGCTTGGGAAGTTCCATATTGCCCAGCAACTTCCAGAAAATGCAAACTTAAATGTAAGGTGTGTGTTGTCCATGTAAAATGTATATGTCCACATGAGATGTCTAAATGTATAGACAGATGGCACAATGAGAGGCATCAATAGATATAATTAAAAGTTCGGGCTAGCCCTCTCCACTAGAGACTTTGAATCCTGTCTTGAAGGGAAGAGGATAAGGAGCCATGAGGCACACCCCTCCCATGAGACAGTTTGTTCTCTAGTCTCTAAGAAAGGGGTGTGGAAGTAGAATTATATCTATTTGCCTCCCCTAAATATTGCTGGCTAGGGGCACATTTGGTTCAGAACAGAAAGACACTAGCTTCCCTAGTCACTATTCCTTAAAAAGGCAGGGTATTCCAAGCTTAGGAGGCAGGTAGGTGGCACAATGGATAGAATCCTGGGCCTGGAGTCAGGAAGACCTGAGTTCAAATTTGGCCTGAGTCACTTACCAACTGTGTGACCCTGGGCAAATCACTTCACCTTGTTTGCCTTAGTTTCCTCCTCTGTAAAATGAGCTGGAGAAGGAAATGGCCAACCACCCCAGTATCTTTCCCAAGAAAACCCCAAATGGGGTCATGAAGAGTTGGACATGACTGAAAAACAACTGAGATTCCCTACCAAGTTCATTTCTGGGGATGGTGTAGACTGTAGCCAATGGACAAGTCACTCCCTGCTGAGGGATGACTCTTTGCTGCACTGGGTCAAGGAGCACTGTTTGCTGCTGCAACAGTCTCCTCATTGGATTCTTTACTGGACCACTGCACTCAGTTGCTATAGCTAAGGACAGACTCTATTGATGACTCCAATTGGTGGATCACTGGTGGCTCTTTTTTTTTTTTTTTTTAGTGAGGCAATTGGGGTGAAGTGACTTGCTCGGGGTCACACAGCTAGTGAGTATTATGTGTCTGAGGTCGGATTTGAACTCAGGTCCTCCTGACTCCAGGGCCGGTGCTTTGTCCGCTTTGCCACATAGCTGCCCCACTGGTGGCTCTTTTGACTTTACTAAGCTCACAAGGTTGTGACCTGGTCAATTCCATATCTGAATACTCTGTCACCTACAAGCAGAAAAGAATAAATATGAGACAAAAGAAATGACAGGGGCCATGTGTTCATGTCCACATGGCAACCTATTAGAGAGCTAAGGCAACCAAAGCCACTGCCACTGTCTCTTCCCACCCAGAGGCTCACAGTTCTTCCTCACCAAAAATCTTCCAGTGAAGACAGTGAGAGATTTATCAGCTAGAACCTTTAATATGCACACCCTGTTCCCTCAGCAGGCTTTTCATCTCTCGGTGAGCCAAAAGGAAACGGAGGACACCTGTGCATACTCTGAAGTGGGGGTTGTGGTAGGAAGAATCCCTCCATTATGTATGCCCAGAAGCAGGCTCACCAAGCCTCCACCTGGACTGGAACCTGGCAGGGCATGTTCATGCTCCCAGGACCTGGTCCTCAGACCCTTTATGTACAACACCTTCTTTAGGACAGTAATATCATCTATTAATCATTGCCTAGATAATCTTAGAAAAGTGAACTCACCTCTGTTGACTTGAGTTCATTTATCTATAAAATGAGGAGATATTAGACTAGATAAATAACAATATTTCATGGTTACTCAGGGTCTTCCAAAAATCTTAGTGGAGTGTTAAGCTTTAAAGCATTAAAACTACACAAAGACTTTTGGGACACTCTATAGCCTGCTTTGTTTTGCAACATGTTTCACATACATTAAATCATTTGATCCTATGAGGAAATTGCTATTACCACCCATTTTAC